AATGTTGCTTTGCAAATATCTTCTCTTTCATGCAAGATGGTTGAGAAATGGACTGAATTAAAGTAGCATATGCTGGGTAAATTCCATCCGACAAATAATAACCCATATTATAGTTATGGCCATTTACAGTAAAGTCACACGGGGGCGCCACCTCATTAATGATATCATCGAATAATGGAGAGTGGTCTAAAACTGAAATATCATTGTGCGTTCCAGCCATCCCGAAGAATGCATGCCAAATCCTTAAGTTCTTTGAAGCAACAATCTCCAAAATTAAAGTAGGAACCCTTTTGAATCCATTAGTATGAGTTCCATGCCAAGCTGTAGGGCAATTTTTCCAATGCCAATGCATGCAGTCCAAACTTCCTAGCATACCAGGAAATCCCCTAGCCTCACCTTCTTTGAGCAAGAGTTCAATATCGTTTTCATTTGGTTTTCTCAAATAGTACCCTCCAAAAATCTTAATTATAGCATCACAAAAATGTTTTAGACTCTCAAGCGCAGTACTTTCTCCAATTTGAACATATTCATCAAGTGAATCAGCCGCACAACCATATGCAAGCATCCGCAGGGCCGCTGTCATTTTTTGTAGCGGACTAAGTCCATAATTTCCAACAGCATCAATCTTTTGTGTGAAATAATTGTCAAAGTTTTGAATCTCACCCAAAATACGTTCAAACAAGCTTATATCCATTCGGAATCGGCGTCGGAATTGTTCGGGTGTATATTTTGATCTCTCGCCGCTAAAGTAATCACTAATTATTAAATCATGTCGTTCTTTTCTTTCACGTCGAATGTAACGTCTTTTAAGCTTTGGATTTCCAAAAGCGTCCTTTGCCAATAAAACAGAAACCTGAAGTGTGGCCTGAAGCATATTCGAACAATCTTCATTCATGGGTTCAGCCAGTAATTTTCTTGTAATCGAAAACTCGTTGTCGCTTGAGGATGAGCTAGTAGAGTCCGATTCATAATTTAATGTAGACATTACTTTTGTCTTTTATTGCCTACAAAAAAAAAAAAAAAGAGAGAGAGATATATATAATCACTAATTTAAACTCAACATGAATGAATTTATTCTTTTTAATTGCAGTGGTAGAAGTTGAGTTTTGTATAACAATATTTTGGCTTTATTTGTATCAGAGTGATCTTCATTGAGACTCCACTATCTCTAGGGCTCATTAAAAATTGAATGCAAATATGGGGAGTCTCAATTGAGAACATGAGATGTCGTTGGCAGAAATACTCTACCGATGTTGGCAGAAATACTCCACTATTTCACTATTTCATGAAAAACAAAAAAGAAGAAATACCTACCAATTTTGAACAGAAGACGTCGTTGGAGACCCACGACCTCGGTGATTGCGTGGCGTGGCTCGACGATGACAGCTTAAAGTGATACTCAGCGACGACACTCGGACGGCCCCTAGTGATAACACCCGACGACGACGCGATGATTCTGGTTACGATTCCCGTGCTCAATTGGTTGAAGAAGAAAAAGGAACTTGAACGGACAAGGGAGATGGGAATGAAACAGACGCATTTATTTTACTATATTTTTATTGGTTATAGGTATTTTAGACCTAGCATTTTATTTTTGCATTGGAGAGACTTTGGGTTCTTTTACTTGGGTTTTGTCCATATCATTTTAGACTAAGTCTATTTTATATGCCACATCTGCAAAACTAGACCCAAAGCATTGTGGATGCTGTTAGGGGGAAAGCTCTTTCCCTCTCTCTCTCTCTCGAACGGCTGAAGGAGAAGCTCGGCGCCTCTATTCTCATCGGCCTGCCCTCACTTCTCTTCTACCTGCGCCCATTCCTCTCTTCTTTACCCTAAGGTAGAGTTATTATTCTTTTCTTCCTAATTTGGATTTTTGTTAGGCTTCTGCTACAATTGAATTCAGCCAAAATCCGCCTTACTGTGAATCCCAATTCTGAAACTGGCGTAGACTAGTCGATTCCCTACATCAGAAACCTAGCACTTAACTCTGGTTGTCAAACCCCAAGCCTAATCCTTACCACTCTTGCAGAAATGGCGGCATTGGAGTCGGAGGATGGCATGTGTGATGTCACTATGAAGCCGAAGCTGCTCCGCTCGCTGCTGAGAGAGTATGTTCCGGACGAGAGACACCCATTCACCAACCCCTCGGAGCTTTCATACGTTGTCTCCGCAGTAAAGACACATAAACTGCTGTATGAATGGGTTCCACAGCCCGTCAAACAGGATCTCGTGGAAGCCTGGAAATCAGCTGTTGACTCATGGGTTCATCGGTTGCTCACACTGGCATCTAGCAATCTGGTGAAAGATATATGTTTCTTTTATTTAATATATTTCGTATATTGACTATCATATTTGGCATAAAAACATGTAACTGCAAGTAATGTATACTATCTAAAATTTCTGTGTTATGCTGTTCTTTAACATATCTAGCTTAAAGCATGTCACAAAAGTTAATGGTTCTGTGACTTGATGGATATTATAGTATCTCCAAGCCTCAAGTGTAGTTATTGTTAATATGATGTGCAGTTGTTTGATAGTTCTTTTTTCTGGGCATCTTTGTGCATATTAGCCACTGGGGCTAATGGGAAGTATTTATTAATACATAGTTACGTACTCTTTCTGATTATAAGATTACAGGTGTTAATATTTCTTTTTGTTAATGAATGGCCTTCAGCCAGATAAGTGTTGGGCTGGAATATGTTTGCTTGGATTGACCAGTCAAGAATGTTGTCCGGATCGCTTTTTAACTTCATATGCTGTTTGGTTTGATAAGCTTCTCTCATGCATTCAGGTATGACTTCTGATTTAGCTTTAGATGGGTATAGTCAATAATTCATTGCATTGTTCAAGTGCATTGTCGAGTTCTCATTTTAAATGTTAAATTTTTTATATGTCTGCATTCCTTTTCAACTGCAAAGTAGTTAAGCATTGATATTTATTTAAATTAATTAAATTGGTCAAATTATATTTGGGCTGTGCTCTTCAAAAGATTTTCTGAAATCTACAATTTTTTTTATTTATTATTTATTTTTATTTAAGATCTGAAGTGCTTTTTGAAACTTATTATCCAATTAGTAGTTATTAAACTGTTTATAGTAATGAGTACCTGTGCTTTTCGAGACTTCGATTAACAATATGTTTGGGTTGGGGAACTTATTTGACAAACTTAAGATTGCAATAATTCCATTTCTTGAACTAATCCTTTTTATATATTGTTTATTTGCCCTTGTCTACAGCTTCCGGATGTTTCTAATTTTGTGAAGGCGGCGTCTTGTGCCTCACTATCGGATATGCTTACAAGGTTTGTTTTGCATTTGGAATATTTGCCGATGTCCATCATAATAAGTACCTCATGTTGTGGATACTGGACACAAAAGTTTTGGAAATTTAATTTTCTCAGACAACTTTTTCACTGTTTAGTGATGGAAATCTGTGCTCTGAAGTCTGAGGCTACCACTTACAACTTACTTAAGATAAGCGTATGTATGTGAAGGTGCTAAAATACATAGAACTTCGACCTCTGCCCAATGTTAACATTTTTTGAAAATCTCAATGATAACTATGTTTGTTGTTGTGATGAACCTACATTTGTATGTTCGTACAAGTGCTGACATATGTATAATGGGCAAGTACTGATACTGTTAAGTAGCATTTTGCTTACTCTAGTTTTTTGAAATAAGAGAATGAATAGTTTAGCAGGAATTTAAAAAATGAATATTTTGTTAGAGACTGAGAAAATGACCTTGGTAATGCAAGAGTGATTGGGGTGGGTTTCATGAGGGTCGTAAATTTACCTTAAGAGGCTATATAGTTGGACTACCACATAATTAGAAAGAGCTGCAAAGTTTAAACAATATTAATAGTGGCTAATGTAAATTATATTACAGCAGCAGTTGTGAGATTAAACTTTATTGCCCCAGGCTTTTAAAAGCTCCTATGAGAGGGATTAAAAGGAGAAAATATTTGATGTTTTCTATCTGTGTATTTAAGGACCAGATTTGTTCAAAGACTTGGTTTAATTTTTGCACCAAGGAGACACTTTGTCCCGAGAGATGGGTATGGCCACAGACCTAAGTATATATTATGATAATCCTTTGATATTTACTATTTTTTTTGTGTGTCATGTGAAAGGTTCCCACAACTTCCGATTGTATCATAGAATAAGGTGAAGAAATTGGAACTCCTTAGCTCATGTCTGGTTACTTTGCACTCTACTTCAATTTTGTGGCATCTCAGTTGACAAAGTTCTGTAGTGTTTCGCCATGGTTATTTAGTTGTTTTTTCAGCATCACTGTAGAACTTGTTGAATTGTTTAATTGATAGTTTGTTCTGATCTTATTCTCTATTTGTTAGGTTGGGTGGATTTTCAAGTGCAAAAAAGGATGGTAATTCCCATTCAGCAAAAATTATTCAGCCAACACTGAAATTATTGATTGAGGAGAGCTCTGCTGATGTTTTGGTTGGTACAGCACAGCATTCTGTTTCCTACTAAAACTTAGTTCTCTAATCATCTTCTTCTTCTTCTTCTTCTTCTTCTTTTTTTTTTTTTTTTTTTTTATCGTCCAGTATTGATGCATTTTGGTTCTGGATTCTGCATAGAGAACTGTATCATGCTAGCTATTTGGGTCGCTAAGGGGGCGATTGTTTATTGTTTGTACAGTAAAAAAACCTATCAAACCTCAAATTTAACTCAATTTTAACCCAACCCCACTATCTCCCATATTATCAATATAATTAAATAATATCAACAAATCATTCTTACACATCACATCAACTTTAATTCACTATTCATCCACTCACATAATTTTAACTAACCATCACTTCCAATCATTATTCTCCTACTTTACATCAAATCAACTTTAATTATTTTATTTAAATATTATTTTAACATATCCACTAACAACTAACCACACATTTTTTCAAAATTAACTATAGTTAAAAAACAAATCAAATAAAAACTAGTTGAATCCATAAACAATCACCCCCTAAGCTGTCCTTTACTTCTTAGAGGAACATGTATAGAAGTTTGTAATAGAATGCACTAAAAGAGATAAACACGAGAAAACCTATCCTTCTGATGGTATATTGACAAAAACAGTTCACATTAATGTATTCATTCTTATGTACGTTTTAGCTGTTGTGGAAATTCTTTGAAGAGAATTATTAATCATGGAAATTAATTTGTTCCTTTCTGTCTTTTTATTTTTCTTTGCTGGGTGGTTGGCATGCAGGAAGGAGCTATATGTCTGTTGTGCACAATGGCAAATTTTTTTCCGTTATCTGTCCACCGACATTATAATAGTGTAAGTGGTCAATCTTTGTAATTTCAATCTGTTAGCATAATGTTTTTCTGTCCATATTTAAGCCCCTACCCACCAACACAGATGGCTAAAATTTGGAACATTTTTTGTTTGATTAAAAGGTAATGTTCCTCTTATGATATCCATAAGTGAATGCTGTGGTAGCATGAATACATTGATCATTGGCAGGTTGAAGCTGCTATTGTTTCGAAGATCATGTCTGGAATATGCTGTGCAAGTGTGTTGAGGGTGAGAATATCTATTCGATATCACATAATTATACACACTCAGCAACACATGTGCTCATTTGTGTTTATTTTACAGAAGCTTGCTTATGGCTTGTCATTGCTTCCAAAAGCGAGAGGAGATGAGGATAGCTGGTGTTTGATGATGGATAAAATCATGCTGCATATAAACAGTCAATTGACTGATGCCTTTCAGGGTCTAGAAGAAGGTACTGGATGCTATTCCTTATGCAAGTGTTTATTGTGAGGGACAATGTAACTTGTTTTTTCTTGCAGAGGCCAGAAGTACTCAAATCATGAGGGCATTACTTCCATCTGGCAAAGAACCCCCTCCACCCCTTGGTGGGTTAGATATCTCTGAGCAGACTTCAGACCTTTCAACCAGGAGGCCTGAGCGTATGCTGGGATCTGGAGTTTCTACTCTAATGCAATGCTGTTGTGATATGCTCCATAGTTTTTACCCTGTTATGGTATACTACAGTCTTTGATTTGCTTTTAAATTCAATAGTGTGGGTTGAGATGTTAGATTTTGTATAATAGAGGAAGGTTGTATAAATGGCAGGTTAAAGTCCCTGTTTCTGGTCTAGTAGCACTTGCTGGGAGGGTGCTGGCTGTTGATGGTTCCCTGTCGCCGTCCTCATACTCTTTTATGAGCACCCTGAAACAAGAATTTATTTTTTCTGAAATTCCTCTTTTGCAATTGCATAGCCTGGAAATTCTTGCAGCTCTTGTCAAGGTTTTGAGGAGGTAGCTTGCTTTGATGCTTATGTATCTCTGTCGACCTGAGTTTAGGGTTTTCAAAAGAAAAAAAAAAAAGAAAAACCTATTTATGATTCATAGCTCTTTTGAATTAATGTTGTTTCATGTGATATCTTGTTAAGTCTGCACATGAAGAATATTTATTGGAGAAAAATAAGTAAAAAATAAAAAATAATAATAGTAAAGACATTTGTATCGTGTTGGAGCATGCTTAGGTCTCACTATAGCAAGCATGATGACAAATTTTCGAATCAAAGGCATAAACAACTTTGAAGGACATGGTTAAAAGTTACTAAAAGATGGAAAGGGTTAAGATTGAAATTTATGGTTCTAGTCTAAAATTATTGAAGTTAAGACTACATATTTAATCAAATTCCCAGTCCCTGAAGATCACTTATTTTTAAACTATCTTTTGTCCAATTTACATGGCATAAGCTGTAAGGCTCATTGTAGATATGTCCTGCGTAAATTGTGAATTTGTAATATAGAAGTTATCGCAGGACCACTGAGGTAACAAAAAATTGAAGGAAGAATTTAGTGCTTAGTGTTTTGGTGATATGTGTTGAAGAGTCCGGGTGCCATTTTTGTACCTTTTGTTGTTGTTTCTCTTAAGTGTGTATGGTGTCTCTCGAGTGCTTCAATTTTAGACCTTTATTTCTTCAATTAATTTAGACGTTAAACCTAATTTTTTTATTGTTTTTTTTCCTTGCAGCCAATTGTTACCACATGCTGCGGGTATTGTACAGCTGCTGGTTGACTACTTAAGGACATCCAAATTTTCTGATTTGAAGATAAAAGCATACTCCATTATAAAAGTCCTAGTTATGGCCATGGGCATTGGTATGCCCTAGTAATATTTAAAATTTTTCAGATTCTTATATTCCTAAACCGTTTTGATAGTGTTGATGAAGTGGTTATGTTTACGACATGAATTGTGCATGAACTTTGTTTACGACATGAATTGTGCATGAACTTTCTAACCTGGAAACCTACAACCAAGGATCTAGTATCTTTCTCTCTCTACACAAACACACACACGTAACCCCCTCCTTCCCGTTATGTTTAAGTATGTGGTTCATAATATTCACCAACATTTAATGGGCTCAATTTCTAGCCTCCACTAATTGTTTCACCTATAAATTTTGTATTCTATCCACTTATTATCTAGTCACATGTATACCTACTTCTTCTCTTTCTTGTTTTTCTGTTTTTTTTTGCCATGTATGTGGTGCAATAGATTTAAACATGAGAAGAGTTGAACTTGAAGGATGAAATGAAGTCCCTGTGCTTGTAAACTAGGATGATATGTAATATCTAGTACTCTATATATGTTTATAATTGCTTATATTGAACCTTTTTGTCTTCATGTAAACATTCATTTTTTTATTTTTCTTTTGCTGGTGTTCTGCATTGTTTTATAGCTGTAAAACCAGAGTTCCGTTGTTTGGTTTCTGGCATTACTTACATGTAAAGCATTATTGTTGAGTATTATTAATGAAAGGACAAAATAGCGAATATTTTTTAATAGGTTGTGCAAACTTGTAGCTTTCTTTGCATTGGGCATTAAGTCTAGTTTAAGGGTCTTCCAAGTGCATTCGTGGCATTATGCCCGTTAACTGAGACTTGTTCCCATTTGCCACACTCCGCTAGAGGATGGTATATTATTCAAACTTTCACAACTCATTTCTGTAGGCGAAAATCTTATATTCGTCTAACTGTTATAATTGTGCTAGAAATGAATGATCATCTAAGTCGTGCTTTTTTTTTTTTCTCTATCTCGATATATGTCTGTTGTGGCTTTTCATTGACTTGGATTCTTTTTATGATTACATAAGCATATTTTTTAACGTCTCATTTACGCTCTTTCGGCAGGTACTGCAATTCATATTAGCCAGGATATTGTAAACAATGTATATGTTGACTTAGAATTCTTTCACGGCAAGAAGGATGGCAAAGGTGCAGGCACCCAAACCATGGTCCATCCGGAGCTGTTGACTGGGTCTCAACAGAGGAAAAGGAAGCATGCATTTATGGCGAGGGCCACCCAAGAGCAGCCTGCTCACGATCATCTGGGAGTGGAAAATCCCCATAATTCGGCTCCAATATCATTGAAGATAGCTGCATTAGAGACTTTAGAGGCTCTTCTAACTGTGGTATGCACTTTCTTTTGAGATCTTTATTATATTATAGCATCTGAGTATCTTGATTAGTGGAATGTAATCTGTTCTCTCTTCTTACTTCTTACATTGACAATGTTGACTTCATAAATTATGTTACATAATTTGGTTATTTCATCTATATCGGATATGGGCACCGACACGCAATTTATGCTACATGTTTCATTGGGTTTGAATTTCTACTAATATTTCCCGTATATGTGCAGTTCGAAGCTCTTGTTACATGTGATATTTATTTTTGCACAGTTCTTTGAGTTGCTTCTTTCCGCATTTGGAGTCGAGAAAGTTACACAATTTATGCTACATGTTTCATTAGGTTTGAATTTCTACTAAAGTTTCCGTATCTACGCAGTTCGAAGCTCTTGTATATGT